AAAATGAAGTTCAATTCAAACCCCCCCATCCTATCAATTTTGTACATGGGTCTGACAGGAAGTGTCTTAACTTAACCTAACCCGTGGCCGCAGCGCTCGGCCCCCTAGCCAATCCTAGCCGCAGCGCTCGGCCCAGAAAGTGTCTTAACCTAACCCTAAATAATAAATAAATGCTAATTTACTAATTTCGTGCATGTACAAATTGATAGGAGGAGGGGCGGGGGACCAAAAATCGTTCACTAAGACAGACCATCCCCCCCCACTAGAAAACTGTACATGCAAAGTTCATTTTTAAAGCAATTTTTTTACCTTGTCCAGTTATTTTGGTGTGATAATTGGGTTTAGTGTTTAAATCACGAACTGATCACTTGATGTACACTTTTTTCAATCTACACTTGCGTTATTTAATTTGTTACAAACAATAAAAACAAGACTGCCTGGTTCAATGGTCTACACTGGATTAAAAAGAGGCAGCCTGCAGGGGCCTTAGCGTGTGTGTACACTCGCTACGTATACTGAAACATGGAGGACACGGAGAGTTAGCGTGATACATAGACAGTCAGTAGGATAGATAGATAGTTCAGTCAAGGATTGGGATAAAGACGAGCGTGACAGTACAACTAGAACTGGCGGCCAGGCACGAACCTGCTCGAGGATTTGCTAGGATTCCGGGCCTGGCAAGAACTCGACGTCTCCTTACCTTTCCCTGATATTCGGTTGTGTAAGCAATGTGACAGAGCGGTCGCCTGTTCAAACACGTGAATAGATTGTAACCATACTATCTCTTATTTAAAGATAGAACTTAAACTGCAGCGATGTTTCACTGTTTAAAACAATTGGATAATGAAACTGTAGCAAATATATGATTGGTGCACTTTGGGAAAATTATTGTAATTCGAGATATAATATATTGATATTTTCTTGTTAAAATTGGTTGTTAAATTATAATTCTGATAATAATTGGCCAATTATAGTTAAAAAATAACCATTTGCATATAGGGAACTTACATCTTATGTATACATTAATATATTACCACTTAATTGTTTCAATTACCCAGCTAACATAAAGACCGACGGCGGTTATACCGCCTTGTTGTACGACAAGCTTCGCTGGAGTTGGGCGGAGCTCCGATCACCTGGTTCGATGTCCGTCTTGGCGGTATAGTAAAAGGATCACACCCAGATCTGTCGTATATACGAAATCGTACATGCGACAGCGCACAAATGAACTCCAAAATCTACACTTCGACATCGGTGCTTTGGAGTATATACTACAGCGATGACCTCTTCACCAAAATCTACATTCGATATCGGAGAGGTATACACCGATATCAATATACTATATCGGAAAAAATGTCACCGAATTCAACATACTACATCGTAGACTTTCTCACCAAATTGTCAGCGTACTACTACCATACTCAGGGGTGACTACAGGATTTTTTATACTATGGCGGGGAAAATTTTGTATATACTACAGCGGTTCAGAATTTCCCGCCATCGAAACTGCGACAATTGCACTATGGCGGGGACATATAGTATATACTATTGCAGTACAGTGTACCCCCCGCCATCGCATTTACGACGGCGGAAAACCAACTCTGGCGAAGATTTAATGTTAGCTGGGTAAAATTGTTGAAGAAATGTTAAAGCCTGCCCAAGGAACAAAAGTGAGGAATTTCCCCAGATTCTCCAACCGTGGTGAATTTCTTTGAAGAGTTTCCAAAGAAGTTCTCGAGAATCATTTCCTGTAACTAATTCACTAATTCCTCGGAAATTCTCGAGAAATTCCCCAGAATTGATCCCCAAGATGAGAGATTTTTTGTGGGGTCACAGTTTTGAGACTCAGTTTCGAGAAATTCCTAAGAAATTCTTTGGAATTTTTAACCACAAAATTACTCAGAATTTCTACGGAATACTTCTCTGGAAATTCGTGAGAAATTCTTAGGACTTGGTAAACATGTTTACGGATTTTAAGGGGAAGTTAATAAAAGAATTAGTTTCAAGAAATTCTTGGGAATTTCTTTGGAATTTCACCACAAGAAATTCCTGGGAGTTCCTCAGGAATATTTTGAAATATTCTAAGCATATCATGAGTAAATTCACTAACCAGGACTTAGGCCCAATAGTATGAATAGCTTAACAACTATATTGCCCCTCCAACTTTTTAAAACTATAACCATCTTCTTAAGTCAGAATGTTATAGTCGTTTTTGATCTTACTGAAGTTGTCATGTATTTTGTTCATTCAGACAACTGAATTGTCAAGAACAAATAAAAAAAATGAAAAAATTTTCAAAATATTTTTTTTAAAAGATGGTTCTAAAGTGAATCATCAGTAATTTTTATAAATAAGGATGCAAAAAAAAAAATTTAGTTAGGGCAGTACCTAATAGAAGAGAACCTCAGAGACACCTGTTGGAGAAAAACGGAACTTGAAAGTTCTGTGATGAAGTCCTGAGAATTTCTTGAGAAAAATTCCAGAGAAATTCTCAGGAATTTCTTGAAACTAATTCTCTTATTTATTTTTCCTAAAAATCCATAAACTTGGTGACCAAGTCCTAAGAATTTCTCAGGAATTTCCATTCAAGCATTCAGAAGAATTTCTCAGGAATTTCTTAGGGTGAAATTCCGGAGAAATTCCCAGGAATTCTCGAAACTAATACTCTTATTAAATTCCCCTTAAAATCCATAAACATGGTGACCAAGTCCTAAGAATTTCTCAGGAATTTCCGGAGAAATTGTTTGAAATTTCTTGAGAAAATTCCAGAGAAATTTTCAGGAATTTCTCGAAACTTTTCTCTTATTTAAAACCCCTAAAAATCCGTAACCTTGGTGACTAAGTCCTAAGAATTTCTCAGGAATTTCCGGAAAAGTATTCTTGAGAACTTTTGAGAAATTTTGTGGGGAAAAATTCCAAAGAATTTCTCAAAACCAAGGGAATTTCTCGAGAATTTCCGAGGAAATGATTCTCGAGAAATTCCTTGGAAATTCTTTAAAGAAAGTCACCACACTTGGAGAATCTGGGGAAATTCCTCACTTTTGTTACTTGGGATATGTCAATAGTTTTCTTGCCTAAGATGCCTGAGTGAAAATTGAAAAAGAAGGTGTTAAATCATTCGCTGGGATATTTAGAAATATGAAAATTTATCGTATGACTGCAGTATGGTTTTGGTGAAATATAGCCATGCAAAGTCTAGGGGTATCAGAAATAAATTTTTACCATATTTTTTTTATAAATGTCCTAAAAACCAGAAAAAGTTTAATTATTGATAAAACTTTTTATTCTGGATAATTGCAAATAAATTTTCAAAACTTTCTTAATTATTCTTTTTTTTGCATTATTTTAATTTATGTAAAAGCTGGTTTAACATTAAACAATAAACAGCTGATATCTCAACAGAGGGAGGGATGGCAACCACGATGGCTTTATATGGAAATTGCTTGTAAAAGGGTACTCAGAGTACTGCTGTGTTTTGGGGTACTGGGTGGTACTATGGATACCGAACAGAATTTTTTTTGAAAAAAAATATTTAGTATCTACATAGAAGCATTCTAGGTACAATTTTATTCTAGTTTTACTTTTGCATTATTTCTTTTCATGTAAAAGCTGGTTTGACGCTAAACAATTAACAGTTGATCTCTCAAGAGATGGCAACCCGCCAATTTGTTATCCCAAAAAACTGCTTAATGGAAAGTGATTCTAACAGGGTACTCAGAGTACTGCTAGGTTCTGGGTGGTCCTGGAGGGTATGGGTGGTTACTGGGTGGTCCTAGGGATACTGGGGGGTACTGTTGGGTACTGATGGGTGGGGGGGTGCTGGAGGGGATTGGGTACTAGAGGTACTAGGGGTACTGTGGGGTACTACTGGGTACTACCAGGTACCTCTGGGTTCTGTGAAATATTGCTGGGTATTTCTTGGGTACTGGGTGGTACTGAGGGGTATTGGAGGTAGAGGGGCAGGAGTAATAGAGGATTCTGGGGCACTGTGGACTACTCTTGGGCACTGCTGGGTACTACTGGGTACTGGATTTACAGCAGGGTACTTGGGGGTAATGCAGGTACAGGGTACTGGAGGGTACCCCCCAGTACCCCCAGAAGGCAGTACTGAAGAGTACTTGGTGATCTTGGGGGGTATTGGGGCATTTCCAACTAATTCAACCGAATTAAAAAGAACCCTAAAGATGGACGCCATCATTTCTCTCCACCAGGATTATTTTGAACAGATAAGCCTTAAAAAAATCTAAATAATATTTGTCTTTCCAAAAATTTAGGGTTGGTAAAACAACAAGATTAGTGTTGTAACACTCAATTTTTTAGCAGAATTTATACGTCAGAAAAAATGTAATCAATGCTATCCTAACATTTTAAGCAATCAAAATTCAGTTTATAAGAATTATCATCATTTTCCCCAAACAGTTTTTTTTGACTGGTTTGAACATTCTTTGTCCTCTTGGCCAGATCCTGATGCCTTACTTCGACATTTTGATCTGAAGCCATCTCAATGATTTTCTTCTGCCACCCAACTTTTGGATATTTTCCACAAACAAGTGCTCTTAACTCCCTAAGTACACATTTGTTAAACTCATTTTTGGAAATTTATTCCTATTATAGATTGGGGAAGGGGGGGGGGGGATCTTTTCTTTTAGCTCTCATTTAAGACTTTGAATTTGTTGACTTAATGACATTGCAGAGAAACATTTAATATAAACATGTTTTACCTTGATCTTTTCTAAAACTAAATCCAGGTATTCAGGAGGTACAGTTTCATACAGAAGAGAGAGATTATTCAAAATCTGTTGAACAGTGTTTCCATCAAATCCATGGTCATTGTATGGATCCCTAACACAGCCCAATGACTTGAACTGTTGCCACTGAAGGAACCAAATCTGCAAGCTTTTTAAAAACTTGGTTTGGTGGGCCTAAATCAATGATATGAAGACCAGGTGGTGCCACATGATCTAGAAGAAGGGCATCATCTTCAAGCTTTAAAATCGGACCAAACTCAACATTTTTGTAAAATTTCAAGGGGGGCAAAAAAAATAAAAAAAAGGTATCAATATTTTTTCAAAAAAAGGATTTTTAAGGGGAGGGCATACTGTTGCCAAGGGGGGGGGACCCCAAAATTTTTTTTGCTCGCTTACGAGCGCAACTTGTGCCCCCCTTAAACAAAAGCTCTTGTATGCTCCTGCTCCCATCCTGTAGATTAAAATCAATCAAACGTGAAGACATTCTTAACAAGTTTTTAAGCGCCAAGCCACGCTGACTTTTTAATGGAGGAAAAAGTTGTTCCTTTGTTTTTGTTTTTAAAAAAAGGTTGATTTTAAAATTGAATATCTTTTAAATTTGCACTAAAACAGTTAAAATGTGCACTGTGCAGATACGTCGGAATCAGATATTTCAAATTTTAAGTCAACATATTCTAAATAATTCTAAATTCTAAAGTAATAGTCAATGTCATTAAAATTAGATGTTTTTTTAATAGAAAATAGAAAAATAGAAATGGTATGGACAATAAAAAAAAAACATTTTTACTTCTAAATAATGTCATTTCCACATTAGATTTCGT